TAAAATATTTCGGATAAACGAAATTGGAAAATCCGGAAAAAACAAACACAAAACAAAATCATATATTGGTTAATTTATCGCTATGTGGCAAAATAATCGTAATACTGTAATATGTAATAAGAAGTAGTCATAATTCGAATTTTCGATTTAGTTCCCGTAAAATTAATTTATAGATTTCAGATGTAATAAATTAGAAACAATAATATATTTTAAAAATTATAGGCATTTCTTGTGGGAGACATAACTCCTAAAATTCTTTAATGCTTACTATTTATGTCTTGCGACATTTTAAAAGACAGAATTCATAAATTTACTTTTAAAATCTAAATTGTTAATTTAGTTTTAAAATCTAAATTGTTAATTTTAGTTTTAAAAAAAATCATTTATTGAAATAAGTAATAAATTTATGGCTCAATTACAACAGTTTTAAATCCAAGTAAACATTTTATTGATAATTTAGGTTAATTTATAATAATGGTTAATTTATAATAATGATGCAATAAAATAACAATAAAAGAGAGAAGAAATTCATTATTCGTTTAATATAGGGTTAGTGGGAATAATTTGTGCAAGAAATATTATTTGTAAATTTTTGGTTTCTTCTTCGGCTTCACAAAGATTAGATCCAATAATTGGAAATGAACAAACATCAACATATAAATTTTCAATCTCACTACTATCTAAAGATGCTTCCATCATAAGGGTATTGATTCTTGTTTTGTTTTCAAAAAACTTCCAATTGGCGACAGGTTCTTGTACTTTTAACCTAAACAGAAATATATTAATAACTTGTCTAACGATCTCTTCTACCATATCTTCGTTTTCCAACAATTTTTTTCGATCCTTAAATGTACGATAACGATTCATCAGCTCCACAATCTCTGTTCGCAATTTTATAATTAATTGATGTTTCTTATCTCCTTTAATGTTGCAAAATCCTCGATTCCCAAGGACGCCGTAAATTTGTTGTCGTAATTTTGTTGATGTAACTTTGCATACTTCATCAGTCCCGGTACGATTCTCCGGAACTAAATTTACTAGCTCCAATAGCTGCTCAGTTCTATTAACAATTTTAGCTTCTAATCTTTGATCATTGTCCTGTTCGTCATCCTCATTATTCTCTTTAAAATATTCATTACTTTTATTAATGATGGTTTCAATCACATGCCGTTCTAATAAACCAGAAATCAAATTCTTATTATTTCGTATTTCACCGATTAGCTGGCAACCATATCTCTCTAAGAGCTCCTTTACTTCCGATTCTTTAATTTCAATTCCTCTTTTTAGACCACAAAATTTATCTAGACGGTTATGTAAAGTACGAATATCCTTTGATAATTGACCGGCGCTATCAGAATCTTGACTTTCTAAGTGAGAACCTGTTGCATAACCCAAGGCCAACTGATACTTTTTGGCTTCCTTTCTTAAATCATCATTAGCTTTTTTCAAATCATTTATATGGTCATCTTTTAATTTGAACTTTTTCAACAAATCATTCATGGCACTTTGAGAATTTGTTTTTTGATAATTTGTTTTTTGATTATTTGTGTATGCAGATTCAAGTCTCTGATAGTCAGATTGAAGTCTCTGATGGTCGAATTGAAGTCTCTGATGGTCGGATTGAAGTCTCTGATGGTCGGATTGAAGTCTCTGATAGTCAGGCTGAAGTCTCTGATAGTCAGATTGAAGTCTCTGATAGTTAGATTGAATTCTTTGATTTTCACTTTCAAGTGCTTTATTTTTTGATTGAAGGTCTTGAAGCTGATTAGAATTTGACCATTCATAACCATTATTTCCTGATTCTATCACATAATTTACGTTATTAGGAATAAGAATAGTTTTTAGGGGAATACATGTTGGGTAAGTAGGATCTTGATGTCTTTTAATATATTCATTATAAACGTCTTTACTAATAATTACATAGCCATTTTCACAGTCACTACAATTTGTTTTATTGATTTGTTCAACTACAGAACCTTGATTCACTCGTATAAACTGTTGTTGCTCGCTTATGAATTTTTGTTGGTCCGATAAGATTTTTATGAGGTCTTGTACTTCCGTAGCTTGTTCATTATGTGGTGGTTTTAAGAGTTCTTGCTGGATTTTTTGTAAGGAACCTCCTTGCCTTTGCAAAAGATCATTCTGCCGTTCTAAAAAATGTTGTAATTGTTGTTGCAATTGTTGTATCGGTTGTTGTATCAGTTGTTGTATTTGTTTCGTAAGTAGTGGGTCCCAATCTAAATGTTGTTGTTCTAATAAGAATTGTTGCTGAGTATGTGTAAGAGTTTGCAATTCCTCTAAAAATTGTAAATTGTGGTAATTTTGTCGATATTCTTTAAACTTATTCTCATAGCTTGTGAGTTGCTGTGTAAATTTTTTTTGATTTTCTAAGTAAAATTCAAGATTATAAACATTTAGATTGGATTGCTTTTCTTCGACTTCCATTTTATTATAGAGATTTTCTTCGACTTCCATTTTATTATAGAGATTTTCTTCGACTTCCATTTTATTATAGAGATAAATAAATCAAATTAAGATATCTGATGTATTTGGCCGTAATTAATAAATAGAATGTATTTTCAGCATGAATAAAAAATTGCAATTGATGATAATACTGAAAGCTTGATAGATTAATAATAATACTAATTTATTGGTACGTATTTCTTGCATAATTAATATAGTTTGTGTTGTGAAATTCTCTGAATTTTGATCATGATTTGATATCTCGCTTCTAAATTAGGAAATCAAATGGTAAAGCGAATTGCACCTATGTTACCCAAACTATTTGAAACCAAACAATAAAGGCATGTGTAATACAATTTGACTTTGTAAAACTTAATAACTTGCGAAGTTATTAGTATTATATTTTCATAATAACAATGAATACAGGCACACAAATGTAAAACACGACTCATATATAAATAGGTTTAAATATAATCGTAAAGCTTTGCTCTAATTTTAGCGTATACTTTTTGATTCTTCACTTTTGATTTTTTTTTCTTTTTTGCATATTATTATTATGGAAATTCATTATCCTCAACCCTTTTATTCAATAGAATATGAACAACCAGATATAGAAGATTTACGCGTAGTGATTGGCGTAGGTATGTATAGATATTGAGTCACCATCAATAGAAAAGAGATTAGTCTTAACTTTCAACTTATGCCTGATGAACTTTAACTCTTTTTATCGCTTTTAAATTACATCTTAAAAATAATAATTTTCATTGCAACACAAATTATAAAGATTTTTTATATCGATGCATCTATTTATTTATTTACTAATAAAATATTTTCTAATATAATCTGTCAAATTTTAAAGATTTCGGTACCACATACTCTGGTCAGTAAACATCTAAACATTGCATGCAATTTTAAACCTTCAACTAACTAAATACTTTCATTAGGCTTTGCTTACGCTTATATTCAAGATAATAAAGCAAAAACTAATGTTATAGTAAATGAAAATTGGGGAAATTTTAAGAGCCCTAATAAAACTAATACTGTATTGCAATATGACGTATCTTATAGTAAAGTTGATTGTTGGGGAGCTCGTGCATTAAGTTCAGAGCCAAAAAGGAAAAAATTTAATTTACCAAAACCGGTAGAATACTTTAAATTTTATTTGGGAGATGTCCCAGAAAGCAAAAAACCAAAATTACCGCCTGGAATTACTTTTGAAAAAGCGATAGCTGATTATCTCCGCGAAATGGGTAACATACATTTTTTTATTTAATGATAAATATTATTATATTATTAAAATTAACTTTTTATAGGAAAGGTATGATGATATTAGATTCCTATTATACAGTATAATTTTGTTTATTATTTTATTACGGTAGACCATGAAACAGGAGATAGATAATCATTGGCCTGGAATAGATTTTTATAGACATGTGCGACTTGTCTTTACTGTACCAGCTGGTAATTTGCTATCATATCTTTAAATGTATACCTGCCTATATACGTACCTATATACGAATATTAATTCATTTTTTAGAATTCAATGAGAATACGAAAACAATTATGAGAAAATGTATATACAATGCTGGCTTGATCAAAAATATCGGCACATTAAATCTTCAATTTACTACTGAACGTAAGGAAAAAAGTTTAATACACATATCATCATGGGAATTTCGTTTATTGAATTCGTTTAAATTTTAGCGGAGGCTGCTTCAATTCATTGTATGAATAAATTAAAAGAACTAAACTTAACTACAGGAGGTATGTATCAGTTTTTTTTTTGTTTATCTTCATTACGTTATAAATACATATTGATATTATTTTGCGATCAATTTAGCAACATACTTAGTTGTCGATTGTGGTGGAGGAACCGTGGATTTAACAGTTAGAAAACTACTATCAGATGATCGAATTGCGGAAACAACTGAGCGCACGGGTGATTTTTGTGGTGGTACTTATGTTGACGACGAATTCCTAAAAGTTTTAGAGGAAAAAGTAGGTAAATCTGCAATGAGAATGCTAAAGGAGAAGCACTATGATCAGATTAATTATTTGATACACAAATATTTTTGCCCTGAAATTAAAATTCCGTTCACCGGTGAAAGGTCCGAGTTCGAAGACATTGAACTGGACATTGAGAAAAAATGCCCTGCGCTCAGTCAATACATCACCGGACCAGAAAAAAATAGATTGGATGAAGAGGAATGGATCATTGATCTTGACTTTGATACTGTAAAATCCTTTTTCGATCCAGTCATTGCAAAAATTTTAAGGTTAATTGGAGTACAATTGTCAATGACTCCAAGTTGTTCGGTGCTATTTTTAGTGGGGGGTTTTGGTGAGTCGAAGTACCTACAATCTAGAATTAAAGAAAGATTTGAAGGTCAAGTGACAGTAGCAAGTACGTTTAGTAATACTTGTATCCTTGTATAAAAAAAGTAATAAATTAAGAAATAACCATTATACAAATCTTCATTTATAAAGTTCCACCTAATCCTGCTACAGCAATTGTAACGGGTGCATGTGAATATGGACTTGATATGAAGACTGTGACCACGAGGGTATTAAAATGGACATATGGTGTTCAAACTTCTAAACTTTGGGTAATTAAACCATTTGAAACTACTATGCTATTTGTTAATCCTTTAACATATTTTTTTTTAAAAAATATATTAATATTAGAAAACTGGAGATCCACTGTCACGCAAGGGATCTGATGGCAGGATAGAAAAATTTTTGTTATTAGCTAGAAAAGGGACAGAAGTGGATGTTAATGAAGAATTTTCTAAAAGTTTGTGGCCAGTTTATCCGGATCAAACTTCTATACTGTTTGAATTTTTTTATACTACAAAATATAATGCAACGTATTGCGATGAACCTGAAATGAAAAAATTGGGTAGTTTTGAGGTTCAAGGTCTGCCCACTGAACAATCAGGATTAGATCGCTCAGTAATGATAACATTACGTTTTGCGTCTATGGAAAATACTGTTGCAACAGCAAAGAGTATGCATAGTGGTGAAGTTTATCGTACGGTATTTACTAACAAAGAATGATATATTATTTTATATTATATTTAACTAAATGCGGCGGTAGTAACGCATAAGTCAATAAATTTTACAACTTATTTATAAACAATATATTATTATTTTGGTTTAAGCAAATTTTTTATTAATGGATGAATTAAAGAATATCTCCTAAATTATAAATAAATAATATAAGCACGAACCAATATCTTCATAAAAAATACCGATATACTGTATAGATAATTGTAAAATGCTTCATTGAATGTGTGTAGTTCTTGGAAATTATTACTTGTGTTAGCTTAACTTCCTCATACCGGACAACATGGTAAACGATATCTTTAATCTCGCCAGAAAGATCTTATTTAAATAAATTATGAATTTTGGCATTTTGCGCATATGCGTTGTAGCGCACCCTTAAGATCAGGTGTAACGTGAAATCAACCAAACCAATTAACGCATTAATTTAGGATAAGGGTCAGAGTTAAGAGAGGTCAGGAATAAGTGATAGTAAAAGCTATACTTATATCAAAATGTTGCAAGGAATTTTTTTTATTAAAACGCGAAAATGGTTTCATAAGCAAATTATGAACTACAAACGATTTTTAGAAAAATCGTTATTTTCTTTCGATTACCTGATCTTACGATCTGATTGGCTGATCAGGTGGGTACGTTACAATGCATATGCGCTAAATTACATAAACGTTAAATTATTTATTTATTATTTGATTTCCACTTTCGGAGTTTACATAAGCATCTTGAAATATTTAAACAATGCTCTTAATACACACCTAGTAAGTTTTTTTTTAGAAGATGATGCAACGTCGCTTTTCTTTTATACGTTTCGTGTTAAAGTTAGAAACAGGATTATTATAAGTTCTAGTTACTTCTCTATAAAGGATTTCGCCGCTTTCATGAACTACTATAATTACTTCAGTATGTTCGACATTTGTGGTTATTAAAAGAATGTACGCCAACACTCATATCGTCATAATGCTTCACATAGGTAGAAGAATCATCAATATTTGCTTCAGAATTCCAACTATATACATATTGAAATGGTATCTTTACGACTTTTTACCAAATAAAGTTCGGAATTTAAATCAAACAATATTAACAGGAGGAAACGCCGATGTTTACACGACTGATCCTTCACCCGGTGTGCAACATATAAAAAAATTATTTTACAATACCACTAGTACATGCATGTTGTGACGGGTAATATGTTGAGTTCAGAGATGGGGGCAAATGCGACGGATTGTCGCTTGAAAAATGGTTATGCCGCGTAACGTTCCTCAAAGATATTAGAGGCGGTTTA